CCTGATAGTACTTGTTTACGCGTGGCTATGTGAGAGCGTTTCGAGAGGGAAACCTGACCCTCCCCACCTCCGGTTGTACCAGGGCATTTGAGGGATTACATAACCTGCAACGTGAAATGACGTTACCCGTTTGTTGCTGATGATGACGAAGAGTTGAAAATCACAGTAGTTGGACTTAACTGAAAGTTGATTTATCTACCTATTGTTGTAGCGTAGGTTACATCGGCACTTTTCACAGATAGAGATGACAGTCGCCTTGTTATAAGATGACGGAATACTACCTACTTTTCTAAACAATTATCAGTTCCCAAACTACGAGTTCTCTATTTTTTCGAAGTTCAACTACACAGAACCAAACTGGACAATTTTAATGAACCAATCTTTCAAGCAATTTATTATCTCCTAATACACCGTCCTCCTTACAAATAATCACATAGAATACAGCAATTGTAAGGAACCTCAATAATAATGATAATTGCTTAGAAAAAACTATATTTAATTATCAGTATTACCGTAAGCAATTTGTTTTTTAACTGCTCCTTCGTTAAATTGATTAGTTTTATCCTGTCAACAACAAAGCAAACTCACTATTTCTCAAATTATTATCACATATGAGATAACAAGATCTGCATGATAAATTCAGAGTAGATGTATAATGCTCATTCATGAGAATGTTAACAAATTTTTATGACATTTTACAATAAATTATCCAAAAAATTATTGTCACTAATCTACTTTTCCCTGTAATTGCAAATTACACCTTTTTTAGTCGCTATCATTATTCATTACCGTTATAAATAAGGGATGTGCTAAACTGTCATAGTTACAACTATGGTATATAAGACAAAAACAGTATTTCTTAGCTACATTATATGAAATTTAACATGAAAAGTTACTTAACGCATGACTGTAATTGGTGAATGAATGTTATGTTGAATAAGTAAAATACCGATACCTCTTATTCACGGTAAAATACGAGGAGGAAAAGAACAATTAAAATAATGAAAATTTTAATTCAATATCATTTTAAGAGAAATGTGGGGGGAAAATGTAAACTATAATAATCCTACATTTACAACTTAAACAAATCCATGGTTACCATGAAATGGTTTAGAATGTGTCACTCCTGACACCCCGAAACCTGTACAAATGAAATTTATAAACAAATTTTAAGTTATTGCCTCACATTTAGTTAAAATCAACATCATTGTTAATGCCAAATTGACTTTAAAAGTGATATCTATGATTATATTCAATTGTAATTCACATGTCTGCTTAGGAAACAAATATTGCAACACGATTACTGATAATCGGTTGCTGGCTGAAAAAAATTAGCAATAAAAACCACATAGAAATCATTTAATTATTTACAAACGACGTACATAAATAAAAATATATTATTCTTTTATTTTACATAATTCAAAGATTCAACTAGAGTTCGTTAAAAGTACTACAATATACACCGATGGTAGTAGGGTTGTGAGATGGTTGAATTTCATAGTTTATAACATGGACTGATAGCGAACAACCATTGGAAGTTGTCGAACAAAGAACAGTCTATGATGCAGACTGCGAAAAATACATCAACATCAACTAAGTAAATAGTAGCCGATACGATGAAGGAAACTAAAAAGACCTAAAAATAAGGGTTCTATCGAATACAATAAAATGAAAACAGCGAAATGACTCTGAGATAAAAGAACAATCAGAAAAAAAGTGGTCTGAAAACTCGAAAACAATTAGCTTAACAATACACGAAAGGTAATTAATTAGTCAATATGTTCTTTTGAGAAACTTCTGTGACAATTTCCTGTAAAATTTGATAAAAACATTCCCTTAGGTCTGAATTATCAAGTTTTAAAAAGACGATTGCCTGCAATCTAAATGAGAAAGATTAAGTAAACAGACTTTCAAATAGTTCAGCTTATGGATTATCCACAAACTGTCAGATGGCATCATTAGGCATTGAACTATGATTTCTCGTGAAAATCGGAATATGTGAACCCACAGTTTGTAAATCATCAACAGTCTTCATTTATTATCTACTAAATGGATCATACTTTAATAAAAACCGTTAAAACCGTTTTTTCCTAATTTCTAGTTTCGATTTCCAACTCATATACCTGAATTTCATTTAAAAAGGTACTATTATTTCAACTCTACGAAGTTTCTGAATCCGAGTAATCAATTAGTAGATAAACCAACATGCAAAATAGATCCTTGCTTATCGGTTCTTTAGAATGGCAAGATAATTTCTAATGTTAATAATCAATTCATCGTCGATGAAAGTACCAAGTTATCTAGCACTGATTGTGCAGAAATTGTAAGTTATACTATTGAGGATAGGTTAAAAATGAAATATCTCTTGGAAAAAATAAAACTTGGGACAAATCAATTGAACAATAGAATAATTCACTGATTCATCAGTTATGTTATACAAAAAGTTTTATGCAACAATTTTCCCAAAGTAAATAATCGATGCTTAGTGTCTGTTACATGCCATTTAAGTATTCTTTGGAAATAATGGACTCACATCATTGACCTGAAACACTTACTCTATGGAATTAGCATAAAACAACGAAAAAAACCTCGTCTTCAAATAATTTTGTCGATGCAGTCAAGTTTAATAAACAGACTCAAATAATATGCGCCTGTGTGTGTTCAGATTTAACTCAGGACAATATGTTCATTTGAAGTAAATTGTTTTTTAAAACAAACAAAATATAATGTCCGGATTAAAATTCGCTTTACTCTAATGAACTGACACACAATTTAAGGATATATTATTAGTATTATATAAATAATTGTGTGATCATTGCTCCTATTGTTTTCTTTTTCTATTTGTCAGTGAATGGAAGCCGTTGAAAGGACACTAGAGGCGTACCTATTATATTTCTTATAAAAACAACAAATGTTTGGGAAATATGAGGTTATTTTATGCTAAAAACGAATATATATATATATATATATATATATATATATATATAAAGTTCTAGATAGACAGCTTATTAACATCTTGAAGGCTCTGTATACAAGCATGTAAAGCAGAGTAAGGGCATGTAATCCCTCCTCGTCATTGTCCCATCCCAATAGTAAGGTTAGACAGGATTCTCTAATCTCATTATTTCTTTTCAACCTCGCCATCAATGACATTCTGAAAGCAGTTCTGATGGAAGTAGGTAATTTTATTATGGATCTGTTACGTGGAGAAAGACTTTTCTACTTCCAACATACGCATGGTATTCAAGCTAATTAGTTGACAATAAGTCTCTGTAGCTATTACACGAATATCACACTTTCTGAATAAAAAATGGTAGTACGAAACTTGCAGAAAACTGTGTCTCCAATTACTCTTTGTTGCAATGCGTTAAAAGTAGTGGAAATGTCCGTAAATCTGGTTTGTGGTGTGACAAATGAAATCAGTTTGCATTTAGTGATAGTCAGAACAGTCTATGCCAATGTGGATCATGTTTGGTTCCATTGCAGTGTTAGTTTGGCTGTAAAAGTGACTAATTCAGTCACTGTCACCATCTTGAAACAATAGCTTTGATGTCTTGAAGTTTTTTCACGAATATCTTTTAAAAGGCACTACTAATACAATGCTTTTAATCTGTTTAACCTGATCCTTGGAAGTAGTTGGAAACTGAAAGCAGTTTAAGCTTTTTAGCAAGCCTATCAATTTTACACAATTCTAAAGCACAAAAGTTAATATGTATGGCATGAGTTTTCTGCTCCTCCTTCGAAAACTATTGAGGTAAAACAACAATCAGCAAGAGACAAGTTTCTATTTTTCGAAATGAAAATACCAAATCATCTGATATGCATACCCTGTTCTTCTTTACTTGGATTTAGTTAGGAAAAATAATAGTAGCGAAAATAGAAGCAGAGGAGATAGAAAGAAGAAACAAAGCAAATAAGTAAACAAGAAAAAAATGTCATGATATAAATTAGACAAACAAAACAATAGAGGTACTGCAGAATAAGGGGTTATAAAAAAACAAATAAATAAGACAGATAGATACATAAGTCGAAACAAAACAAATAACACTATTATCATCATCGTTATAGTGGAAACGTAGTATTCGAAGACAAAACATTGAGAAATGTTAAGCTAGACCATAAATGAGTATTTGTTATCATAAAATTGTGAGAAAAAATATCTTGAGTTCTTATAGCTGAAATATAAGCATATTGTCAGCATTTAAGCAGGAAGACAGTAATAATGTACATCCGTTCAAATAGTACAGAGAATAATAAGAGATTTATGCTTTTATGGCCATTTATAAAACTGTATTTTCACTTTATTTTATTGCCAAAACCTAGTCCTTTACTACAAACACGGGTCCCGTAAGGAATAGTTATGGTGAATGAATTAAAGCTAGATATGTACATTATTGTATACCAGCTGAGAGGTCTAAATGTTGAGCGGTCATTGCGAGAAAGAGATGTCCTGAGCTCAGTATCCGGAAGGGTCGTGGATTAGTTCTGCTAAGCGGTCTAATACTAGAGCGAAACAGCTGTCCAATTCTTACTAGTTTTAAATAGTTGACAGCTAAGATCGGTTCATGATGTGAACTACGAAAACCCAACAATCTCTGTGATTCCCTACGAATAATAACAATATATATCATGACGTTATTGATAACTTTTTATCTCTCCATACATAACATATATTCTTCATAAATAGGGTAAATAAAATACTTATGAATAAGGTAAAAAAACAAGCAAATAATAACATATAACAAAACAAAAATAATTGCAACTAATAATAACATGAAGTGATATAAAATTATCACTTGTTTTCGTGAACATAAACAACTTATATAGGAAATACAAAACATTCGTAATTATGACTGCTGTTTATCAACCTTCTTATTGCCAGTGAACATAGTTGACGGGATAATTTTGCGGTACAGTTCAATCGATTCGCGTGTATCGTTAAGACATGAAAAATAAGCAGGATCTGTTACTGTCTCTTAATGTTTTTCTTTTCTCTAAAGAGATAAAAATATTTCGATGAAGAGAGCCTACGATTAAAAAAACATCTGGACTGAGAAACGACCTCAAACTACGGTATTTAAAAATATTAACCCATAGGCAGTATGAGATTCGGGAATGAAACACCAAGCAGCATAACTAACTGTCACACTATAAGTACATGAAAAGCCGACGACAATAAAAATACACCTAATAAATGTGTTACATAAAAATGTAAGACAAATTACCTTGATCTATTTACATTGTACAATCATTGTCGAACAATTAATACAACGGATAGTAAAATTTATTTTTACAGGCAACTTTTTAGTTAAGGATAAAAATTAATACATATAAAATAAACGAATTTTTCGAAAAGAACACCAACTCAAAGTAGGCTTAAAAACAGGAACAATGAGAAAGATATTGAGTCCATATGTGTGTGTGGTAGAGGAATGAAAATAAAGAAATATACAAGAAAAAACAGGAAAAGACAACGTCACTAATAATTAGTGAAAAGATAATTCAAGTAAAATAAATAAAATAAAATCTTAATTCGACATAATCGGTTAGTATCAATACTGACGTCTGTTAACCATTTTAACTAGAAGAAAAAATGTGTCACTAAGAAAATTTTTATTAATAATGCTTTATTCTTGGAGGTATGTAAAGAAAACAAATTCGGGGGGATCACATTTTTGAGAGAAATATTCCCGATTAAAAATATAAAACTGAAACAGAGAATTATAGGTTATTGAGTACAGTGATTTCAAATATATAATGGACAGACAGTCTTCAAGAACTGAATCATATCTACAGTTTAAATGTAGTTCCCTAAAAGAAAACGAATGTAATTTACCTCTCTTCAGTAAACCAGAAATCTTGAATTTTTCAAATGACATCTAATACAAACATAAAGTGAAAATTAAATATTTTTGGATAGTTAACATGAAATCTATTTTCAGACAACAAAAATAAAGTTGTCTCACATTAACTGATGTTGGTAGCTGAAAATGGCATACTTTATGTTCATTAAAATACTTAGTTTATTGTAATATCTATTCACATTTTACTTACAACACAATTGACAGAGATAAACCAGATAAGGCCATACAATTCATTATACGCCTATGTCCCATCGTTACTAAACATAGACGATACCAAAGATCCACATTTATAATATTGTGTCTTTTTCGCGGTTGTACTATACGGCTGGAGATTTCTCTACGGTATTCACATAATAGTTTACTGGATTAAAACAATTAACAGGTGTTTCACTGAATTTTACATCCTGAAGGTTAATTTTCTGATAGCAGCCTCACTAAGAAATCTGAATCAAGTAACAAGTTAAAGCTTTTAAAAAGTGATTTGAGCCACAATCATTTTGTGAAAGCTATAGTTTGCTTTCCTTTTGAAATCTTCAATTTTAGATTATTACTATTTTCGGGATTTTAAAACGCTTTAATTCTCTCTAGGTAATTCGACTCAAAACTGACTATGTTGTGGTTGTTGTATTGAACCTATGAAGAACGTCGGTAGGTTAATGTGATTTACAAGCTTTAGCCTAGTAGATAAGGTGTTTGACTTTCAGACACGAAGTCACAGGTTCGAACTCCCGTCCAACTGCCTCGGTTTTGACAATTAGATAGTGTTACAAGACCTCACATTTACAACTCAACTAAAAGTAAAGTATACAAGTCTGTACTAGATATATTACTTAATAGTAACCAATTATCTCTGTAAACGTATTGCTGAATAACTAGAATCAGAATACCACAAGAAGTAGGTAGATATATTCGAGTGAAACACAAAAGCTGTAACAAACTTAACAGTAAAGCAGGTTTCATAAAAAATATTTCATAAGTGAATGTTATTTCTATGCAATTGAAAGAAAAAGTAACTTTTTCATCGCTTATTGATTTTTCAAAGCAAAAATTAATGATTTGAAATATATATATATATATATATATATATATATATATATATATTGTCTCATCCAAACATGGTTACCGGCACATTAATAAATATATAATTTTATTTCGCTTTGTCTATTCACTCAATACTGAATAGTCAAAAGGAAGTGAAATGGAAGGTAGAAAATATAAAAATTGACCTTATATGAGATGGATTATAAAGTTACTTCATTAATCTCAGTCCGCCATTTTTTATAAGTTGAACTTATTCTTCAATCTCTCAACGCATCACACACATAAACACTAATAACAGCGGTCAACCAACACTTGAGATTAAAGTGATAAAAAATAGCACTACTAGAAAATACACTACCCAAGGTACTTTCAATGGCAACAATTTAGAATATATCATTCCACAATTCATATGACTTCATAGTTTTATACTAGCATTTTTAGCGTATGTTTGTTTACCATGAACCGGATATAAAAAACAAATCTATGCACTTAGCCTGCATTTTATTCTTTACACGAATAACAACTTAGCGATAAATCTTGGGTCAAGATAATTTATGAACCATGTCTTCTGAAATAGCATACCCTTAAATTTTGAATGCTAACTTCACTTTGAATCAATCTTACTATCCCTGTAAACTGGCATGTTCTGTAATCGTTTGCAAAATATGAAGGAAAAGGATGATTTCTAGTAGATACTGGATAGTAAATCAATTCTTGTACTGAGTTGGCAGATTGCCAATGCCTCAGCAGTGCATAAGTTTTTGATTTGACCTCCCTTTGATCCAATTCCTATGACTGCGTAGTCCTTCGGAGTGATGTGTCCAGAGTCGATTAAATGCTCCTGTGTTGAACTGGTGATTGTTAAGGATTCTCCTTTTAAAAATTAGTTTCACATACATAGTTCACACATGCATATATGGTTACCGAGTTCTATTTTCAGATCATTTTCAACGGGAACAAGTAAACAACACTGTAAACAGTTTGACATTTACATGAATTTAAATTGTCAGTCAGCCAGTCAGTTACAACGTAGAACTTCGTACGTACGTACGTACACCAGTTCGAGTTACCATACCACATTAACACAGAAATGCAGTTGTCGATTCAAATCCCATAGTGGTAGAGGTAGTAAGAGTATAAGCATTATGTGAAAGATTAGGGTTTAAAGATAATATTAAAGGAGTATAATACAGTGAAATAAATTTGGAAAGAGAAAAAAGATACGAACATGAAGAATTCAGAAGATTAGAACTTGGTAGAACACAAAGAGTGGATGCACCTTTGCCATTGCAAACGATTTTGAGCCAAGTTATTCAAGGTCTCTAACCATCGATTGAGCTAAAACTGAACATTTAAATTTCCTTCATTTTAGGTGCACATCAATGCTTATGATGAACAGTGGAACTATAAATATGAATCAAACGTTCACAAATAATTGGGTTGATGAAATCAATCCTAAAGCCAACTTATCGAATTTACCAATTTATTCAAAATCTGATCAATTACCAACATCTAAAGCACATATTTTTCCGACATCTTTACAATTAAATCAACCGAAATATCAAACGTCACAATCTCCATTATTATTTGATTTCTCTTCAGATCTAGGCAAAACTGAGCATTCATCGCATCGTATACCAAGTTGGCGTAATTTCCTAATTTGTATTTACACTCTATTAACAATATGTGGTGCAACATTCAATTTAATTTTAATATTTGCCTTGTTAAAATTTAGAAAACAAACATTATCGCACAATATTACAAATTTGTTTGTATTATGCTTAGCTGTATCCGATATATTTTTGTGTTCGGTGAGTATGCCGATACAATTATATTATGAAATGACAGAGAATCACAAACCAAGTACAGATTTATGCCGAGTATTATTTAGTAGTTTCGGTATACCAATGTACATATCATGTTTAACTATTTTATTAATTGCATTTGATAGATATCGTCTTATCGTTTATCCATTAAAAACACAATTAACACCGAAAGCAGCATTTGGTCTAATTATTATTGTCATATTATTTAGTGCATTGAATTCAATACCAGTTGCATTACAGGTAAATAGTGAAGGTTTAAATGATTATCATTATTGTGTAGAATCATGGCCAAGTCCACAATTACGATTTGCTTATTCTGTATCCATTTTTGTTATATTAGTGCTATTACCGTTAAGTGCATCAGGTGGATTTTATTTAGCTATCTATCGACGATTAAAACAACGACCTTGTCAATTAAATGCTAGTAAAGAAGCAGAAAAACGTAAAAAGCGTACAACTAGTTTATTAGTAATAACAGTTGTTTGTTTTGCAGTCTGTTGGACGCCATGGTGTTCATATTCATTATTATTAGAAGTACAAGCTTTATTAAATGTTGAAAATCATTTACCATCAGCAAGTACATATGATTTAATAAAATTTAATCAATTATTCAATTCAAGTCAACAAACAATTCATAAAGATGATGAAACATGGAAATACTCTATTGGTTTGAAAACATGTGAAGATCTTCTATGGTATACAATGAACCAATCATTACCTATTATGAATGAAAATTTTACAATGAATTCATCGATTGACTTAATGAAACCAAATATGAATATTATACCGGGGAGACACATAAAAATTATTGATCTTTTATTAAAATTATTTGCGATGGGTTCCGCCTGTGTCAATCCATTGTTGTATGGATGGTTAAATGAACCGATACGTGTAGTAATGCGTAGACAATACAGTAGATTTGAAGGATGCTTTAAATGCTTTAAAATTAGCCGATGTCGTGGAAACAATAACAAACATATGAAAAACTATGTAGAGGAACAAAATTTACAAAAAAGACCATTAATTAATATATCTTGCTTTGATAAACATAAATCAACATTATTATCATCATCATCATCCAAATTTTTGACACCACACTTCATTAAATCCAATTCAGATTATGATACGAAACCGAAATTGATAATTGACAGACCAAAAATTGGTAGTAAGCAACTAAATGATTCTCGATCAATGTGTTATACTGAAGGAGATACTAATCTTAATAACAAAGACAGTTTAAATCAAATAATCTTAATAAAAAATAATAAACTTGATTCTGATACTGGCATTTTAACTAACAATAATAATAATACTGTCGACATCAATTGAGGCTCATCTGATTTACTGCCATTCAAAAAAGCCTTAAATTTAGAAGGAAATAAAGATGCTAAATATCATGAGTTAATAAATTATAACTAAATGTATTCAATTCTTAGAGTAAACCACTAAATTATTTAAATTTAATTCCTTAATTTTTTTTCACAAATAAAACAGAACATTCCACACTCCATATACAAAGAAACAAAGAATCTGTTAACTTTTATGTATCCAAGGATGAAGAATGAATAGATGGTAAGTGAATATAAACACGTTCTTTTCTCTTATTTAAGAAAGATCGCAGATAAGAATAACTCCATTTATGAGATGTTTCAATCAGTACAACTCACTGAAGACTAAGAAAACACTTAGTAAACATAACGAGAACATCGAATTATCTTGTTCGTGTGCAGAAAATCGATTACCGAAGAGATAAAAAAGAAACAATATGATTTGTAGCAAACTCAAGAGAAAGATACTTCAAACATTTCATACAAAACTAAGAGTGATATAATTTGAGGACTTGTTGATTACTCCATAAATGTATGCCTACTGTAATGGCTGAGATATATATAACGTATGCTTAGCCCCACCTACCTTGAAACCAAAGTAGACTGAGAAACAGACTATGACCAGGCCAAATCATATAGCCAGTGTGCAAAGTAGTTGATAGTTTGCTTGATTTCCGTATGAAAATTCACACATCCTGGATATAGTTTTGAAGTCCATCGTAACTCGTAGTCTACGATCGCAAAATGACATATCTAAAATGCAATCTCAGTGAAACAGATAATATATCTTATTTCTAAGTAACAAATATAAATTATCTACAAACTAATAAGAAAAGCGTAGACTCATTGAAGCGTCTAGTGAAAAAAAACAATCCTGAGATTATATACTAAACTTGATCAATGTTTCAATCAGAATACATGACATAAGCAGTAAAACGTAATAAGAGTAATAGAATCTTAGATATTGCTGAATACATCTTCTTTAAAAGTATTTATTTTTATAACATCACAATTAATCACGCATAAAATCAAGCAATAATACGCAAATAATAAACCTGAACACACAGCATATATGTTGTTTACACGCATTTGAAAGCCGTTTTGTCCCAGTGGTCTAGAGGTCAAGCGATCACACAAGAATGAAGGTCCTGGGTTCAAGTCCCGCGTGCAGAATCGCGAGCGCGCACTGTTGAGCAGTCCCATTACCATGACAAAACGGCCGTCCAGTGCTTCTGGATTTTTAATGATGGCCTAAAATTGATCGGTTCATGATCTTTTTTTGTTGTTGAAGAAATGATGATCAGTTCGACTTTGTTTATTTCAATAGATAATAACGAAAATATTAGTTATATGCAGTGATGAGAAGAAAGAAATCCTTCCTGTAATTTAATGTTTGCTAGTTTTCTAATGAAAAGGTATCACAATTAAATGATTGATAATTGTTAGGGTGAAGAATTTACTAATGGTTCAATTTTTTTCTGCCCTAAAAATATTTATGGATGAAAATTAATAGCTACAAACAGATATGCTAAGTTTCATAAGTAAACAAAAAAATAAATTGATTTATATATATAAACGAGAAATTGATATATAAAGCCAGTAGTGAGAACAACACTATCTATTTATGATTTAACTGTGGTATTTCCTGTAAGGTTTATTAAATGCTGATACTTATTTGAGGATGAAAGCTCAACGAACCAATCTAATGAATCCATCCTCTTGTTGTCTAGAGTAAGAAGTATTACACTCATATATAAAAAATATGGGTTAAGGAGAATAGAATATGTTAAACGTTTATTATACCAGCTTATTTTTATATATAACATTTAAGGAAATAAGATTACTGAATCATTTTGTCGCTAGATTTTAACCAGGAAAGTTCCCCATTCATACACAACTCAATAGACTACATCAACCAGTAGTGTCAGGCCTCAACTCAGTCACTCGGTGTACAACGCTATGGAAAATCCCGTAATACACCACTGACAGATAATGTACAAAAATTTAAAATTTGTTTTAAGGTCAAACTTATGCTATAGATGATGAGAAAACTTGATATTCTTTCTATAACCTTACTCTCTGTAGTATTTTCAATTATCACTATTCATTTATTTATTTGACAGTTCTTCATTATTAAATAAAATAGTTCTATAAACAACTGCATAGTCAGATTATTAAGAGTGAATCGGGTCAATACGTAAATCATAATTTTTAAACCAACTTCATATTTTCATATATATATATTGGTAAGTTGATATTAACACACTATAAAACTGTTAAGAAACATTCCCTTCATAAATTTGAGAACAAAAGTAGAGTAACAATTAGGGCAGAAAAATAATAGGAATTTTATTGTAATGTATGAACTCTCATCAACTTCTTAAAGCCTTCTTGGGATTGGTAAAATCAGCCCGATGGGTTGAAATATGCCAGTAATACATAATTAAATCTGATGACCGAAAATGCTTATGACTAAAACAGCCATTATTAATAATAATGATAATATTAGTAATGATAAAAAATTTATTTACCACAAACTTGGGTATGAGACCCACGCTGAATGATGGCGAATGATACTATTTAATTACCAAAAATGAAGCGGGTGTAGAGGTGTTTCGACCTGGGCTGGAGGTCGAACAACCTAACCATTAACCCACCGCTCAAAAAAAACTTTTAACGAGGTTGTTTATGTATAAGTTTATCAAGAAAAGTTCGAAGAGAATGTGAAATGAAACTAAGAAAACTTTCTTGTACCGGAAAACTGAGTACATAGATTATGTGAAGACTATAATAAAGGTTAAAAAATTAACTCAATTTTGAAGAGGCTGCTGATAATAATTCACTTAACGGGAACAAGAGTACTTAGAATATGGTGACGTAAGGAATAAGCAGGCAAATGAATTAACAAAAGCTGCTCGGTCATCTTCGTGAAAACAGTAGTCAGTCAATCAGTTAGCAACAACATAGGACCAGGCACATATATGCATCGACCCAAGTTGCCACACCTCATCAGCACAACAAGATGAACACAAAATCCATAGAAGTAGTTATTTCAATGGTAGTACTGGATAAAAGAAAGATTGTATATAAAAATATAACACAGGCAAAAAATTTTACACCGAAAATACACTGGTGAGCTGTGAATTTTCGGTGTAAAAATTTAAACAAAATGCATTTAGATAGCGTTTTTCGACTTGTGGACTTTTTAAAATGATGCTAAACGTTGACAATACGTTTAGTATCAGCTGAATGTTCAGCAAGGACACTTTTGAAATCCTTAGTTATTTCGAATCGTTTTTAAGAACTTGTTCAGAGATTCGTACGTTCACTCTCCTTTCTGTTATTTCAATGCATTCATTCTGATAGACGGTTATGTATCGGTGATATAATATTTTGAGAAGTAGTCCCAGGAGTTCTTGTGAGACGACGTGACCAGTCGAGTTCAACCATGTCGTGTGCAAGGCAGTCACCCACAGAAGACAATTGGAGACGATTACGTAATGTGGTGAAATGAATGAGGTTGAACATGAAAACCTTTCGATGCCACTGAGTGTTCTAAAGGTTAGGTGTTCGCGTGAGAGGCGGGAAGTTTGGGTTCAAGTCCTGAATGCGGGGTCGTAGTTGCGCATTGATGAGGAGAACTACACTGAAACGAAACGGTCGTCCAGTGCTTCTAGGTCTATAATTACGATCTTATACCGATCAGTTTTTTACTTCGATGAAACTCAACAATCTCTAAAACTGTATACTTACAACGGCTTTTGATTGTTTAATGGAGTAGTTAATAAATCCATAGTGACATCTCTAGTTGATGTCCAAGTAGTTTTTAGCGACTTAGTTATTTCGTTAAACTCATTATCTCTAAACCCGGTGTGCAATAACTCTATCACCGCTAAACGCCTACTATTCCACTGTACTACATATGTTAAAAGCACTTCCTCTAAGTAATTTTTAGTTATTTGAATGGAAATACAAATACATTAAAATTAATCATTAAAATAGTCGATAAATGGGTTATCCTTGTTGGATTGTTGAAGATCCTATCGGATTCTCGTATTAAAAAACTTTGAACTAGATGGACTCAAATTGATAGCAACACTTAAGTTATCTCTAAGATTCCTATTACTATAGGAATCGGTTTTATGATTATTCTACACGTTTTAAATTACCATTTGATTGGTTACATTGCTTAATTAATAACATTTCGACAAATAAAATTAGTAACCCCATCGAATCAAGCACATTTCATGCAGTGCATAAAATTTTGAAGGCAAAAAGAAAGACAACTTACTTATATGTTGTTAGATGACGAGCATAACCAGCTAATTGTTCATCTATACCAGAACCGAGGAACAAAAACTAAAAAACAAACAAAGAAAAACACTATAGAATTGTTTCGATGAATTATTAAAGTAAACATCATAAGGACTTAATATAAATCAAAGTGTAACGAAAATTAATAAACAGCGAGATTTCCACAAAATCACGTTCACACAGTGAATTCGTGAGCCTCGGAAAGTGAATTTTTAATTCAGATAAGCCTATGGGCTTTACCGACTAAGGCTTCATTAACCTCAAGTGGATGGAACACAGCAACAAACCTGCAACGCATAAATTGACGTGATGAAACTAATTAAATTAATATGTTAGTGGTTCTTGAAAAGTTTATCTTAATGCTTAAATTGAAGTCTCAAATTTCATAGGTCAAATTAAATAGAAACTATGACGAATTTCAATTGTTCTCTCAAAATACATTTAAAAATAATACCTGTAAAATAATTGAATAGTTTATGGAAGAAAAACATCTATTATTTAATAGAATAATTTTTTTAATACTTTAATTTATTTTTTGACGTCTCAGAGACAACAACAACACCAAGATGAACTCAGAATGATCACATTCAAAACAACGCATGCTTCAAATGACTAAGTGGACATATGCGACAGAGCTAAACACATAGCGTGGGCACTAAATCCTATTCAAGCTAGCCAATACAAAGCTAATTAATTATAACTTCGTTCACCATGTTATCCAAAAGATCACAAATTAATTTAAGACTGAAATAATTTAAATCAAATCAATTTTTGGTTAAAAACAAAGTGATGTAACCGCAAAAAAATCTATAATTTTTACTAGAAAAGTAAACTTGAAATTCAGACTTTACAAAAACGGGAAACTATTGAGATTCAAATGAAACTGAGTAGAAAAAGTTATTGTTACAATACTACGATATAACTTAGGGATATATATTTTCAAGGGAACTAATTATTAAACTTTAATTTCATATTATTTGTTATATAATGAATAGGCTGTTTTATGATATAGATGTCTATACACAGAAGTGTAATATACGGACGATGTAGATAAGATCTACATTCAAGAGAAAAGTAATTATGAAAATACAAGGACACATTAATAAAATGTTAGAATTTATTGTAGTTACGATAAAAACGAATCCAAGTCATTTGCAAGTTAAATTAATTAATTGGCGTTTCTTAATTATGAACCAGTCGGAAATTTCTGGCACAGGATAAAATGTTACTGAGCAAAAACGAAAACATTTATACAACAGATTCTTTGAACTGGCAAGATGAATGACAAAGATATAAAATAATATTGTGGTATGGTTAACAGATAAATTTGGTTTTACTACAGTAAGATGATCACTGTAAACAATGTTTGACTAAAAATTTCTACTTACTTCCTCGTTCTCAGATAATCTGACAGGGATAACAGTTCATTGATAACAATACTTATAAATTTAACCTAAGAACTCCCTCGCAAACCTACCTGCTTTGTATCGAGTGCAGCATCACTATCGCATTGAGAAAAAAGTTTACAAGATAAATGCATGATATTGTTACCAAAAAATTGTTTAAGTCCATTTTTATAATGAGTAGGATATTGGGTATGCAATTGAAGTAATTTCCTTTTTTTGTGACAAGTGAATTTCATGTAACGACGTGGACAATATTTTGAACACTTTGAACATAGTACAATATAATTGTAAGAAAATAGGTGAGAACCTTCATCTTAGTTTACCACACTGTTTGCTCATATATGATATGCCAGGTAAAAAGACAAGACACAAACTATAAAAATCATGCAAAAGAACCTAAATCATCACTCTTAACAACTAAAACACCGCTTTTATCGACTTCAAATTAAAGACAGTAAATATTTTACGATACTAATTTGTCGTAGCTGTAGGTCAACTTGGAATGAATATACCGTAGTTATCATTAACTGGAAAGATTTAGAAGACAACTAACAAAAAGATGTAAAAATATTCATTAAAATCATTATCGCACTTAACGTCAGATAGTGGAGAAAATGAGAAATTAAAAAATCTGTATAAAGCTTAGCATCTTTTTGACTAAATATTTTAGATAAGCTAAAATTTGCTACCAACGTTCTAGGGCTCCAACTAACCCATCTTTATGAGACATGTATGTATGACAGAATTGTTTACGAGAATAAAAGTGGTACATGTAAATGAGATAAAAAATACTATCGAGCGAGTGATAACTGTTTTGATTTTCAATTAACCATTAAAATTTTAATCTACGGTAAGATCATGAATTTTTGTGAGTCAACAGGAAATAGGAACTTTCTTAAAATAATAATAAGAAGAAGAATAACAAAAGCAATAAAACAGTAGTTTCGCGATATAAAGTTATAAATATCAATATAGTCAGTCAAATTATTTTAATAAAAAGAAACTATAGTACTGAGACATTATTAACGTTTTTTATCTACAAAAAATATAAACACACCTTTGCTGACGAAATGCATTTCTCTTCGAATTCACTTGAACTGTGTAAAACACCTTCTCCACGGGCTGCAAACCAAAGAGCTAAACCTAGACTATCATCTAAAACAGTTGTATGCTCTGGAAGCAGTAGTGGCCATACGTGTTTAACTCTGAATAAAATGGAAGAAAGAATAAATTGAAGGAAATTAAATTACCCGTTAAAATAATTCTAAAAAATTAGTAGAACAGTTGCTCAGTAAGTATTGTTTGTGAAATTCAAGCACCAGACCTTAAACATTTGAACGATGCTTCACTTACTTTATTTTATGATAATAAACTGAGAAATCTAGCACTTCTTCATACTCAACATCATAATAATAATAACAATAATACTGTCAGATAGATCGAGATATTAGAATATATATGTGTAAAGGAAAATATCGCACTTGGACACAGTAGCACAAGGAAAAGCAATACAGCAACTAAAAATTCAGATGTTAACACAAATAAAAATATAACCACTTTTATAGTCAAAAATTATTATACGATTCAGGCCTTTTTTCTTCACATAAAAGTAGATGCTGGAAATAAAATTGAGTATTTTTCACCATAAAAGGTACATACATCACGAAGGAATTGAAAAAAGAATTGGAGGAAACTAAATATGATAACAATGTTTCAAGGAAATAGAAGTGTATACAGTTGAGAAATAAATATGAAAGTTTATTCGAGTTTGTAAAAGAAGCATATTAACATAACATCGATTAATCAATCTATGGGGTTATATATAAAGGGCTATTTGTTAAAAAACTGCTATTCCGTTACTAACCTGTCTTTGAATGTAAAGTGAAAGATATCATAAGACGAACAACAGGAGCAATAAAAAATTGGTACAAAACTGAACATGAGGTGTAACACTGGTTTAATGTAAGGAAATATCATAATATGGTGACTAGGAAACAAAACTTATAGAGTTAAAAGGAATGTAACTATTCACCTTCGAAACTATGAACCTCAACAGCTCTCCTGACTAAAAGATAAAGTGAGTTTGAATCAAACACCTAGTGAGTGAGTAAGATGCCGATAGCACCGAATCGCTTTTCTCACCTCCTAGGCCAAAGTTTATGATTTGATAATCCACATAATAATAGAACAGGTTTGTTGAGTATTCTGAAAGTTATGAAGAAGATCCTGAATAGTATCTCTCAAATCATACGTAGTATTTATATTCTCTGTCAGTTGGAAAAACTCAACAATCACAGTAAAATGAAGCAAACTTAGAAAATTAAGACTTCTGGTAACCAGACTAGAAGATTCACCTAGACTAAATACAGATGTTAACAGAATTCAATCTGCCCAGCTTTACAACCCGAAATGGAAATCAAGTTGATGACACTATGAAACTCATTCATATTTTCCTATGTAATTTCAACATTATATTTTATAATAAAATTGTTTTTCACTTAGGACATCTAGATACACTTCTGTAAATTAAAAATAATACGTAAAAATGTGGTCATGTTTCTGCATATAAAGTACATAAACGTTCAATTTACTCAAATCCATTATAATAGTTAATTAAGCAAAACACACTACTTAATCTCATCAACTAGTTTCACTACTAAGACATAATTATATCTTCATAGTTGAAAGCATAAGTCAATTGAAGCTAGACCACCAAGGAAAACTTGGAAGCAGTGGACGGCCGTTTCGTCCTATTGTGGGACTTCTCAGCAGTGCGCATCAACGACCTCACCTCTCGAGATACGTAACCCAGGACCTACCAGTATCGCGCCAGAACACTTAACCGATATACCACTGGGAGGACATCCGACGGTGTTTATGTCTAACTCAAACCAATCCACGAATTCGAGCAACCGTTCACCAATTGTCTTCAGTGAGTTCCTATCTCATAACAGACCTGGTTTGAACTCCACTGGTCACTGCTCACTAGTGACTGGCCCCATGAGGTATTTCTTGGAGTTTTAGTGAGAAGTAGTGACCAGTGGAGTTCAAACCAAGTCTGTTATGAGATAGGAACTCACTAAAGACAATTGGTGAACGATTGCTCAACTTCGTGAATCGGTCGGAGCTAGACATAAACACCATAGGATTCCGGCTCAGCCGTCAATCGGTTAAGTGTTCTGGCGCGAGATTGGTAGGTCCTGGGTTGGAATCTCGCAAGGCGAGGTCGTGGATGCGCACTGCTGAGGAGTCCCATAATAGGATGAAACGGCCGTCCAGTGCTTCCAGATATTCCCTGGTGGTCTAGCTTCAATTGACTAACGCTTTCAACTATGAAAATACTAAATCTCTACAAAAACCCCTTCTGATAATAATAATCATATCTATCAATTTTAATGCAAAGATGTTATTGAAGAATGGAGTAAAATCGCATTCAATACTTAATATGCCATGTATTTGAATAATTCAAAATAGAAACTAAATATTTCGATTGAAACCCAAAAAACAAGGTTTCCTCAAATTGCTAATTTATCAATTAATGAATAAATTCCACTGAAACTGTCAAATATCTAAATTATCGTCCAAAAAGAAAAAGCAACTTTAGAAATGCAAAAATGTAAACATCTCAACAATAAATTAATTGAATGCAATTACTGATGGTAAACGAAAATTCAATGACAATAAATATAAACAAATAATAATGTAAAAAAGAAATACAATAAATTATAATTAACTAAGAATAATAGAGAATATCAAATTAATAATGAATAATTCACCAAGAATAACAATAGAACAAACATACATACAAATAATGGCAAACTTTTCTAGATTGTTCGGATTCACTTGCATAGTGAATGAATGAAGGCATGATCGATTCATCTATTCTAGTTTGTTTGTTTGTTTGTTTTTTAATGTAAAATGATAAATTTACTAATTAAGTTTGGCGAGAAAAAGAGAAGTAAACAAGTCGCCATTCTAATAAAGTTGAATATTAGTTTCAACCATAGAGTTGAACACAAAAAAAAATATCAAAAATGATGGTTGCAGTCAATTTGTTTATTTTCTATTTTTCCTTTATTGTTTTCATTTGAATAATTGACATTTGAATGACAGATTTTCTATGCGGAAATAAAGCTAAAACGATTTAAATTAAATACTATTGAAAAAATGCATGAGAGTTTGTCCCGTCCCCTTCGTGTGTTCGATTGCATAGAATTCAATGAATCAATATTATTTATTATAATGAACTAAAATTATTTTCTAATAATTTTTATAGTTCTGAATAATTATATCAATCGCTTTTTTCTTTTTTGAAACAGATAAGATTGACAACTAGCGGATATATGGATGAAATATGAAACAGGGAAGTTAACTGAGAATCATATATATTTTTCGTTGTATAAATATAAATTTCTTACAGGATACTAGTGTTGTTAGTGATAGCCATATATTTAGCTCAAACGTTTTCTCAGATAGATTGAAGTTGACTTATATCATGCATTCATATAAACTGAGGAATCATCGAACTTCTCTGAAATGTCCACACGCGACATAGTCAGGAATCGATAATAGGACCTTAATGACTTCAAAAGATGGAAATTTCGCTAAGTAGAAATATGAACTACTGGATTTTAACTAAGTTATTTAGTGCTTAAACGCTTACGTTTGTCCTGAAAATTATAGAACCGATCTATCGCGAAGTAATGGATGTCTAGTTGAAAGCAGTTGTCCCTTAACAAACTTTACAGTTGACCCATCTCTTGTCTTTGTTATTCGCGAATAGATGGTGCAGCTCTATGCAAAACTATTTTCATCATCTGCTTACCGAAATATCCGGGAGATATTCATAAGACTACCTCTTTTGGATGGTAAAGAAACAAACCACCTACTTTAATAACAAATATATTAAGAATAAAAACAAGAAAGCTTTATGTACAGGCAATAAAAAAAGATTTAATTGTCGCAACATAGACCATTTCTAACTCAAAAAAATAAACATGGAACAGTTTGTTTATCATCTCAAAAGTATAAATTATTATTAAATTAGATCAGTGCGTTGTTAAAAGGCTTTTTGGCAAACGATTTATGATTCTCAGTTAAAATCAAATCCAGTATATTTTGTCATTGTAGTAAAAATGTTGTTGTTACAGCTATTTAATCGAAACACTACGCAGTATTCTTAAGGTCCCAATCAACAGATATTCTAGTGAAAATAATGTCAAGTAACATGATTACGCATTATCTTTCATAACTGACTTAATCTTTCAGTATCATACATTACATTAAGCCATTAATGGTTACTAGTAAATAATTGAGTGTTTTTTTTAAAAATTACTTTGATATTATCTACAAAAACTGTTGGATTAACACGTCAATGTAAAACGACAAGTGAATAAGGCCAAAAATGATATATAAGCATAAATAACACATATTTTCGATGTGATTTACAATGAACAATTAGATAAGAGGAAAAACTAATTATTTAAGTTCGAAAGAAAGCTTCTAAGACAATACGAAATCAGTTACAGAAGTATAAGAAGTCGAATAGCGATGGGAGTAGTTGTTTTTTTCCAGTTTGAGAATACTCAATAATGTATATCCACAACCACTGAAAGAGATAGGAAAATAGGTGGCCTACTTGAACATCTGGGCCACCTGTTCTTGTCATTTAGATATTTCAACAAGTTATCTAATTTTGTTTGTTTTAATACATGATTATGGATATAATTCGCATAACCTATTCAGGTGCGTTTCCGAAAAGTGTACAACCTTTCGCTGTACAAATTACGAAGGGCGCAATCAGAGATATCGTAGCTGCTGATGTCGATTGACTGGACTGCTAACTTCTAACTGGCGAACACTCAATATTTGTCGTCAGGAACGATCAAAAAGTAAGAAACGGAAACTTGTTGAAATACATTGCGCTGAGAATTCTATATTGTACCAAAAATATAATATTGAATAAAGCTAATAATAACAATAACAATAACATCAGGATATTCTTAAAACTACTTTGTTGAAAGTAAATAGTTTATACTTTTGCAAGTCTGTCTCGTGTTGATTGGCTGACTAGTTGATATATATACATGATGAAAACAATCCTTAAAACCATCCAAGTGACATCAGATGATTATGTAAGAATCTCATTTTATTTTTTTTAAAGAGACTAAAACAAATCGAACTCAACCATATAATTTTCTATTTGAGTAACTGAAACAAGAATTAGTGTACAAAAAGCTTTGAATCTTATTGTTAATATAAAAAATTTAGTGATACTATTAAGTTTCTGCGACTGAATTAGGTGGAGCAAAGTTCGAAATTGAGACTCACTGACCTAGGTTTGATTCCTTCAATAAAAGAAACGAGTGACCTACTAATTTTTTCACAAGAATATGCAGACAATATGCATCAAATAATAGTAATTAAACGAAACGAATTAACAGAACCTTTGTATGTTCATTTGTTTAGATTAACAAACAACAACAATCATAAAATTTACAAGTATCAACAATACGAAAAAATTATGAAATTAATAAAGAATGTGAACTATTTTCATTTCAGTAATTAATCATATCAATCATAATTCTTCCCTCAACTCCCAGGGTAGAGTTTAAATGGCTTGAGTAATTTTTTTCTGGTTAGCGTTTTTTAGCGAGTTAGTTTTCTACGGGATGAGGTCGCTAACCTCATGCCAAACCATCCTCCTTTATTCGGGATTGAGACCGGCAATAGCCCCCCGCGCGGCTACAGGCCGAGTGGAGAAAAACAGGCGTAAGTAAATAAGTAAATATTGTTGAGGAAAAAACCACATTGATAACGTAATGCAACGAAAAAATCACAAATAATAAATGAAGCACAATTAAGTTACATAATTATATTTTATCACAGGAAAGAAATGCGTTTTACTGATCCTTTTTCTAATGCTTGATTGACTCAGTAATACTCAAATATTATTAGACTGTATATTATCAAAATGAAATGAAAAAGAGGGGTAGATATTCAATGAATCAAACTTGCTTAACATCTAATATTCAGCCATAGACAATTTATATAGCTGTCTGCTCAAAATTCTAGGAAATATTTATAAAAATGAATTTATTGCCATAAATTTTCCCGTTTTACAAATTTCAATTAACTAATTAGATCTGTCAGCTGTTTGTGCCTACGCATTTCCATAAAATGCTCACATTTTATAGCGAATTTAATGCCTGAGTAGTATCACCATAGCTTTTTGAATATTTTTGTTCTCTTCTTTCCTTAATAAAAAGAGTGGCAATCACTATATAATCTATATATTAGATATATTAGTTGTTACAAGACTGATTGTAAAGATTAACGGATATATATATATATATTGAATATTCTTTTACTGCTTAAAAAAGGGGAATTTTGTTGAATTTTACATATTTTAAAGTAAGAATTTTTTACTGTTATCAAACGTATCGTATTCAATTAAGAGGATATTAGTACTACTACTTTCATTAATATTAGTATTATTTAGGAAATACAGATGAAATCAATCCAAGTATTAATTATTCTTACCATGTATTATGAAAACCTGGCATCTCTTAGTATAATATGGAAACTAGAGACAATAATAATAAATCAGATAGCTTTAGTGGTTTTACACATACTGTGTCTTATGTTAGAATACACGTATTAGGAATTTAAAAAATGATACCTAAAAGATCATATTATGTCAGTCATTTCGCGAAATTAGATGAGAAACATGATACATTTATTTATTTATTTAAACACATAAATATTGGAACAAGGAAGCACCAAATACATATGCGCGACACAAATCTCATTCGCTTGTGTGAGGGCTGTGATACTGCCCAGGTGCCCAAACTGAAGCAGGTGGTTTTCTTAAGAGACCACACCAGGAGTCTTTGACCTAAAGGTCTAACCCACAAGGCAGTGGAAAATCGTGAGGAGATGCAATCCCATGGTAGCCGGTGACTAACGACTGATTCATATGCCATTTGTCCCCTCAGGATACTGGAGCCCATGTGCACCACTGTTTTGGAATCATGGTTTTCCAACTCCCCTAGGTGAACTCGCCGTGTCCACCAACCCGGTTAAAGCGCCGGACATTCGTTTTTCGTCCTCTCAATTTCGTAAACAACAGTAGTGCCACGAGAATGTAGTGAGCAGGACTTCCCTGGCAGAGGCTATATACGCGTGGCCGTGTGAGAACATTTCGATAAGAGAGGACTCGCCCCACTCTCGGTCGTACCAGGGCATTTGGGGGTAACATGATACAACGCTTCACGTTGCTGAATAGCATATTTATATCATACTCATAAGCTATAGACAACGAACAAGTCAGTATCGTTCAATAAAAACGATCATTCAAAGCATCCGAGATTTTTATTTAATTCATGATTACTCCTCTTCCTGATCTGGTTATGATAACATTGTATCAGTTAAACAAAAAAGTGAATGAATTCTCGGTATCGAATAGAGTCGACGGAAAATGAATATTTAACAATATTAATGAATAAATTTATGATTTAAAATAAAGATCAGTTAATATTTGAGATTTCACTCAAAGATAGTAGTAATGCAAATAATAATAGTGTAGGAACTATTCAATAAAACTTTTGCAAATAAAATTATAATAGTGAGGATTTATAAAATCCGTTTTCATACTCAACAAAACAATGAGACAAAATGGAATATGATAAAATGTGACAGAAATACACTGTGAATAATGATAATAATAATAATAATAATAATAATAATAATAATAATAATAATAATAATAATAATAATAGGGATAACAATAATACTATATCTGTAAACAAATCCAATTTGATAGGCAACTCTCATCTGGGTAATATACTGATTAGATTATAAGAGTATAAAGAATATGTTATGCACACTATCCACACCTAGATTGCAGCTTTAAAAAGTTAGGAAGAAACAGGGAAAACAATAGAATCAAACTATAATAAAAAGGTTATGTTTATCAAATAACTGACAGTCAAAGGAACCATTAACAGATTTACAATAAAAGTTACATATAAGTAACAATAGCAAATATATAAAAGTTCAATGTAACAAATATATATATATATATATATATATATATATATATATATATATAGTGCTTAAAAAGTGTTTATCAGAAACGTTAGATAAATGTAAGTTTTGAAATCAGAATCTTTATTTAAGACCTAAGTATCACAGACGATTAAGCTGAGGTAAATTTATAGAGTAAGGACACACTAAAGGGAGAATTTAAAAAAGAAGTGGGAATTAATATGCAAAGCTCAATATAGCTATTTTGGTTTCTGTGACCGTTTTGCTGTATAAGAAACATCAAATAAACGGCTAAAATATAACTGTGGTCCACCGAACAATGAAATCATTAACCAAGAGTAAATGTATTTCGTTTTCATCTACCTCCTTTCAGGTCAAGGTGGGTAATAATGCCCACATAAACTGAAGTTCGGAATTCCCCCAAACTGATTTGTGCAAAAATAGGATTAAACGAAAAACAAGCCTACTCAACGTGAAAATTATCAAAGGCAGGAAATAACCAAATTTCCAACATATATCCAGCACAAACTGTGCTGACCACAAAACTGACGCGTTTTAAGGCTAACTATAGAAAATAGTTTGATTAATACGAGAAACGAGGTATTCGTTATATGTCTCAGTTGATTGATAACAAAGCAATACATAATCGAGGAGTTTTGAAAACCTTGGTGATTCGATCACCTCGAGAAAAATACAAAACAGCTGTTTGATATTTACTAACCTCGATTTATCATACTCCTGACGGAATACCTGAAAGTCTATTAAACCATAGATAAGCAGTACAGCGATTAGCTGCCATTATTTGGTAATGAACAGCAAATGTAAACCATAGATGTTCGACCACAGGTATGTTTTGAAGTACTGATACACTGTGATGAAACCATCAAGTGAGCAATAGATACATAACTGACTAAATAAATGGACCATATATGAATAAAAATATGAATACGAACTGAAAATCAGCAGTTTCATTGTTTTGTAGTCATGTACCATATTAAAACGTACTACGAGCTTTTTTAGCTCAACAACAAAAAGTAACTTAAAATAATAATAATAATAATGTATGAGCAACAAGATTATGTTCCAAAGTAAACAATGAATTTTAAAAAAGGTTACATCAAATGTCACTGGTGACGCTAATGGTTACAATAGAAAAAAATAATGTTGCAGAACTAACCTGGCCTCTGAAATCTCACTGACATTTACATTAACCTAAAAATAAAAAAACAGAATAACATTGGCATAACTTAAAATAAACATTTAAAATAACTGATCATATTAAATGATCTACTATTCATACAATCAAAGCGTTTCATCAGTAATAAATTCTATATTAAATACAATTGAATAACCATATACAGATTAGTGTGTCCAGCTTTGAGGTGTACTATTTTTATAAGGTCTAATGATACCATCCCCCAAATCTAATTCAGATAGATGAATACAGTTTTAAATATGAAACCTAAGTACTTTACTAACTATCATCAATTAACTGAAGTTCAACTATGGCTTCAGAACTTAAGTGCGGTTAACAACAATGATTACAGTGTACTTCAAGTAAAAACAGAAACCGCAAAAAAATATGTAATGGAATTTAGATTGTGTACACTGTAAAGCATGACCGGGTTAAAATGCCAGCTCAAAACAATCTTCAAACATTTAGAACGTGACTATACGAAACTAACAGAAATGCTCCGATTATTCTTAGGAAAAAGAAAACTAAACGCGAATAATTATTGTTGCGGGAGAATGACTAACAATGAAAATGAGTTGTTGAATGATGCAACGTCAACTTGTCTCAATGACGTCATTATCGACACTGAGATTCCTATAAAGTATCAGAGAAACACAGTGATGATAAAGACTACATTTGAAGTAAGTTATACACTGGAAAACAGAAAACTCTCTCTGGATACTATCTAGTAATTGACCTAAAGATGGAAAAGCTGTCGCAGAACAATGTATCACCTCCAAAGTTTGAGATAATGCAGAGAAAAAAAGAATTCTAATAAGTAACCCATGTAGCCACTAGTCAAATAACAATCTACAAACATTTGTAGCATGTCCGCAGTTTATTCAAGAACGAAAGATATTTAGCATATTATTTCTCTAACAATATATAAGCGTAGACAGACTGTATAAACATTAGTCAATTAGCTGTTTTCATTTAAATGATGCTTTGTAACAAATTGACAATCAAAAAAAAAATAGAAATGATATTTTCGTTTAAATAAGTTATCTCAAATCCATTCACATTATGAGGGAAATTTATAAATCAGTATGAAATCCGCGAAAACACATAAAGAGTACGATATAACGAAGAAAGTGAAAAAAACTGCAGAGACACATACCGAAAATCAGATTAGATTATACAATATGAAATCTTGCAAAGTAATAACAAACCATTAATGTATTATGATTATTATTTGTTATCGCAAAAACAAATAAATTCTAAAAATTGGACAACCTCTACCATGTATTATTCATATCAAAAATTATATCTTTATAAGTAGATTACAAAAAAAATATGAAAAAGAGTAGATCATGTATAGAATATCTCTCATAAACTATGATAATAATGACGATAATACTTTATTCATTAGAAAACTGTATCATTTTGAAATTATCTTTGAAATATATATACAATACTTGAGGATAAACACAATCCATTAAACAATATCAAAGTCTTTTATCTCTAGTAAACAAACGTGTATTCCATTAATTAATTAGGTGAATTTTAGATATTAGTTTAATGTGGATAATGTATTTAGAATGAATTTATCTCAGTTGAGCAATTATTGAATATCAGGAAACACTGAACAATTGTTTGAGACATATTGTAATTGCAAACTCACGACCTGTTAGGGATCAGGTTTATTAGTAAGTGAAAAATTCAACGTTTTCAAGTGCACCTTCTTCTTATCCGATCACTAAACAAGAGTCTAAAGATGCTCGTAAGAATCATGTTGGCTTTTTAATTAATTAAATCAATTACTTAATATTGTAATGAATGAATGGGGCGATGGTTTCCGAACACACTACAATTTTATTTAAAACTGGAAAGATCGATGTAAAGGCCAAATTCTACCACAGACTAATTGTGAAAGAAAATAAAACTCACAACAACTTCATTAGATTACATTGGTGGGACATATTCAATAAGAGAAAACTAGTAATACACCTTGACTGGTAAAAATAGGTTAACCATAGTGGACTGAAACTGGAGAAAATCGGAAAAACACAAATTCGGCATTGAATTATTAAAAAACATATAAATGTAAAAGGATGATAAAGCAACTTTTCTAATAACGTACAATATACCTTTGGACAAAGAAAATTAGTTTTGATTCTGAAAGAATAATCAATGGTAAAAACATTTTTAAGTTATATTTCCAAAAACACTTGTATATAAAATGTAAAATAATAATAACAGGTAAAAAAAAAAGTAAAAAATACAATATTTACTTCCGGTTACGATTTACTACCTCATATTAAGAATAGCTCAAGTTCAAGAAAAGAATGCACTGTGATCTGAGTTTAATGGTAATGAAACTTTTAATGAGATTATTTATTAGCTTCATTGAAACTTCAAATTTATCATTTTTATTTATTAAAACACATAAATATTGGTACAAAGGGGCACCAGATACGTATGCGCCACACAAATCTCATTTGATTTGTGTGAGGGCTGTGATACTGCCTAGGTGCCCGAACTGAGGCAGGTCGTTTTCTTAGGAGGCCACACCCCAAACCTTTAACCTACAAGTGTAACCCACAAGTCAGTGGAGCGACGTTAGAAGATGCAGGCCCACGGTAGCCAGTGACCAACAATGGGTCCATACGCCACTTGTCTCCTCAGGATACTGAAACCCATGTGCACCATTGGTTTGGAATCAGGGTTTTTCAACCCCCCCTAGGTGGACATTCCGTGTCCAACAACCTGGTTAAAGCGCCGGACACTCGCCTTTCGTCCTCTCACTTTCGTAAACAACACCCCCGCCACGAGAAGGCAGTGAGTAGGACTTCCCTGACAGAGGCTATATACGCGTGGCCATGTGAGAGCATTACGAGAAGGAGAGCGGACTCTCCACACTCTCGTCCGTACCAGGGCATTTGGAGACCAAAAACTGAGAGTTAGTCGCCTGTCGGAACCCGGGTATATCTGCTAACAACAGAATACTGTGTTATTAAATCATGGTCTGTAACGGTCCGTATTAAAACCTGATTTATTGATTCAAAAACTGTAACAGTAACTAAAGAATTAGGAAACCGTCATTTTGGCAAGTCAACCTATAATTTTAAAGCGAGAGTTTTGTATAATAAATATGAGAAGAGAAAATACTTATAATTTCCAACTGATAGATTTCTATATAAATATAATTATGATAAATTACCAGTTAATTAGGATAAGCTAATATAATAGAAAAACAATAAATAAATAAACAACTACACAAGTCGAACATATAAGAAAAGAACATCAACGAAAGCCATTAAAAGAATGATAACAACAATGACATCATAGGGATGAAAACCCGATTGAATGACGAAAACGTAATTAAATACACTAAATATCCCTCTGTGATACCAAAAGACGATAATACTACTATGAACATTGTGTTTTGTTCTCAGTTGATTGTATACTTATTCATTTGTTACGTAAATAAATATAAACAATAATCATTGCAAAAGGAGAAAACGAAGTAGAAAAAACAGCGAAAAATAATTATGCTGAGCATAAGAATAAATTACAAACTGAGCAAAGGCCATTTACAGAGTCCAATAAACTGGCAAGAGATCACAAGTAGTAAGTAGCTTATAGATTGTTATAACATGAAAGTGTGATATTAACTGAAAATTATTGTACAACCTTTGAACACTCTGAAATTAACAAACATTCAACACATTCTTCAGACTCAAACTGAAATTAAAACTAATGAATAATGTTCTTATATATATATATATATATATATATATATATATATATATATATATATATATATATGATTAATCAATAATCTAGTCTCACAAACCATACTACAAAAGTAAATAATTCTGGAAATCAAAATCCACAGAAGTTGTTGTCAGACTAATCCCTGAATAAATTTAAATGAATTAAGAAAAATTTTAATTACATAAAAAAGAAACCCTAAACTTATCAATTTTAAAATTTAATGCAGTGATTAGTTTCTGAAGAACTTCCGAATCTAATTTCTAGGAATAACGTTAGAGTTTTATTCAAACAGAAAAAGAGAAAAATGAGTTATATGGGTCAGAACTAACAAATTTCAAGAGATATTACACAAGAAAAATATGTGCTCATATTGTGGTGTGGTCTACTTATATCCATATAAGTAGTATATGGCGATGGTCAGACATAGAATGTATTTTAGCAGAAGACCGATAAGGAAAGAAATGAAATGAAGCGCGATTGGTAGGAAAATGCATGAACAATGAAATCAGAGAAGATGAACTAACGTTTAGAGAAGGAACAGTGAAGATTGAGACAATTGGTTGGTATTTTGCAAATTAATTGTTTGCTGTATGGTTAACAGAATTTAGTGAAATAGTCTGTAATTTGTGCTTAAATTCACCCGTGTTTTGTTCACTACAATATGAGCAAAGATAGGTTGCGACAGATTAAACGAACTAAGAAGTAAATGATCTGTTTGATACAATCTTGACAGTTCAACATTAACATTGATATTATTTGATAGACAATTTTGGTAAAGCAGCGAATGACAGGAGATATTATAAAAAAATAAATGAGTTATTTATCATCAAATCGCTCATTAATTTAATTTGACATGAATTAAGTAACAAAATGTTATTTGTCTTATTGAACACCGCTAAGTAAACTGTTTTACATTCCCCATGAAACTAACTAACCTCATTTAACTTTCATCGAATTACATTTTACTGATTTGTATAAAAATGACTAGTATGCTAACACTTCGTCATTTTATCGTAACCACTAACATACAATACGACAAATATTATAAAGACCAATTACATTCAGTGCAAATTTCTCTTCAGATTGGTTAGTTAAAAAATAACTGGATCCAAACATTTTACGGATCAAATATATCCAGAAAGATTCGCTTTACATAGCTGACTGAAAGAGTAAAAGGATGAACATAGTAGTGGAGCGATTTCATTTCATAATTAATGAGTATGGATAACTATGTAAATGATAACATGTTCAGCCAGTCAGT